TCTGAGAGGAGTTTTGTTAGAATACTCCCAAGTGGCCTGTTGAATCATAGCATTGGTAAAAGTATACAAGGATGAAGCAGAGGGATATCCACGTCAGATTTTGCTGTGAACCAGTTGTTGTGGATCTTTTCAGCAGATGTATCTTCTACCAAGTAAGTAGATTGAGCGGTTTAGTCGATACACACAAGTTCTTTGTATATTTTACAATGGTTAAACGAAGATGGTGGATCCTTGCCCAAAGTATGGCACCACTGTTCGCATGGTCAAAGATATACCGTGGTAGTGGTTTCCGATACCCTCATGTTCATCTGGTGCGGGAAAACCAGAATAATTGCATAGAGATAGAAGGAAGACTTTGCAAACGCGTGAGTTTAATAAAAGTGTCACAAAATGTCATAGACTACTGATAAATGACCGCACAAAATTTGTTGGCGTTCTCCAAGCTTCCTGGGTTCCACACGACCTGCAAGTCCTTAAAGGCGGGTAACTCTATCAGGACAAACAGCGTAGTCAGTGAGAGTTCGAGGAGATACTTCGATCAAACATTATGCCTAGGGTGAGTCCTGTGTTTTTAAGTCCAGCAGTAGTAGCACGCTGCACTTGCTTGTCGGGTGTCCGTGGTACATTTCTGGCACTCAAAAAGAGAGGCAGGGCAGGTAAAGCTCCTAAAGGAAGGAAAATAATGTTTCACTCTTGCTTTTTGAACATCAGCTTAGTCGCGCATGTGCAGTTGAAGAATAATTCCTAATGACCTGAGTTGAAAAACGGTAAAAAAAACGGTAAAAAAAAACGGTTAAAATTTCCCATATAATATTGCGGTATTGAAGTCTACTGAACAAATTCGTCTAAAAATCGGTCTCGATCCTCAACCAACATTCCTGTTCACTACTGAACAACCCTTTGACACTAGTTTTTCAACCCGTCTCATTTATTTCAGTTGAATAGTCATCTAATTTACCTCAAGTGGTTCTTCTCTTCTCATTCGCGTATAAAGACGAACTGTTTCAAACCTCAAAGAACTATTACCAATCTATTGCTTCGATGTCCAGTTCGGTCTTTTTCGGCAAATTATATCAATATAATGACCCATATGTATGAATTACGTACTAGCCAGGATCCGCTGAAAATCAAGAAAGCCAAGGCGTCACTTAGACCTTTTCGACAGGCTGGCTGAAACGAAAACAACTATGGTTTTTTGGACATTAATATTAAAACAGCTCATATTCGCGGAATTTTCGTAAACGTTTACATCACAGTAGTATACGTTTACACTTTATGTCACAAACAAAGACATATTGCTCTTAACCAAATAAACACTTTACATGGGATTTCGCCAAAACGTGAACAAGGCTCTAACTAGCGACTACGTGTTCGGGACACTAGCTGTCAACGATCGCTTCGTTTCCTCTAAATATGAGGACTCTAAAAGCCTAAAACAAAGTGCTGCACGCAAGTAGGCAGACGATTGTTCTACGGAAAACACTGATCACAATTTTCTAAAGACTCATGAAGATATGTTCATAACTTTTCCAGAGTAAAACTCGATACAATTTAGCGATTTTCAGTCTTGTAAAGCAAAACATAAGTATGATTGCACATCCTTGGAATTTCAGAAGTAAAAGAATATGTGTGACAAAACTACGGGCCCTGCTCAATCCTCGAGGCAAATTCTTGACAAATTTTAATAAGATCTTGTCAATTGTTGTTACCAATACGCCAATACCTTCAAGTTTTTTAACAAGGAAACTTTTGAGGCACTCATGTCATTACGTTGCGGCCAAGATATGCTTCTCATGTGGCCGAAAAAAGAAAAATGTCTGATGTTCACGGATAATGAGGAACATCTTGATAGGATATTTCTAGTTCTAAGGACAGTACACTTAGCATTCTGGAACGGATGATCAATGTCAACTAAATTACCTGGCTACCTTGGATAACATCAGAACCCTGTCATCTTTCATTCCGAGACTCTGTGTACTCCCTAAAATTCACAAACCAATACAGCCGCTTGGACCCATCCTTAATAGGTCCAGATCCCAATATTATTGCACGAGTTATTGGCAACGGAATTCCCTGAACTGGTTCGTTGAAGGATTTTTAATAGAGTCTTTGAGACCAGTTTAGATCAATAAAGTGAATGTGCACTAGAAGCATGTCTTCCTAAATCTAAAATGAATGTTGTTGCGATACACATCTATTTCATTTCAAAGGGGAGACTCTACATACAACTTGTTGGTGTCGCAATAGGTTATCTACAGGCCGTACTACTTATCGATTCTTGACAACGATCAAGCTGCACTTCTATGCAGACGATATATTCGCCCTCACAGAATCCTCAGAGCTACCGCAGTTTTCCACAAAATTTGTTGCGCATATCAGAGAAAGACCTCTTTCCACTTCCTGTGCCTACAACTGCTGAGAGCCGATGGCTCATTTAAACGGCTGGGTTACCGGAAACCGATTTGCACAGGACAGTACACTAACTTCAGCGGTTTTATTTCACTAAAACATAAACGAAATTTAGTTCGGTGTTATTGTGATAGGGAAGAAAAATTTGTCCCGAAATCGGACTTGAAGCCGAGCTTCATTAGATAGCTAGCATACTCAATGAAAATGATTATCCGGATGGTCCCATTCAAAAACACATGGCTGCTGAATCTGTGGAAACTGAGCCGGTCACAAACCGGTCATCAGTCTTCCTTCTACAGGGAACCTGGTCATACACTATCAGACTCAGAGTCTACATCATATGTTTCAGAAAACCTTTCTGACTGTTCCACTTAAAGTATGGATCACGACTAGTGAGCTGATGCCCCTATATTTCCAAAGTATGGTATTGGTCCATGCTAGAAGCATGGTGGTTTAATCATTCCTGCTGTTGTACAGCAGAAAATATAGTGGGTTCGACGTGACAGTTGTG